GTACGAGGAGGACCAACCAAGTACCGAATGTTTATATGAACTACAATAAGGACGCTAGTTATGATAATTTGATGTTATATTTTGTCATTATATATGTTTTAGTAAGGTATTATTGTGACAGGTAAAGAATGCTGAATTACACATCTCTTTACACGTGTCTGATAAAATTGTTTGCTGTTCTAATAAATTGTTCATTATGCCCATAGAACCTGTCTCAGTATACAAATGGAGATGTTTAATATAACACGCATTTCTCAGTTTGACAACACTAAGTGTATTTGTATTCCATCTTAATAATAATGATTTTATTTGTTACAAAATATTCAAACATTTTGGCCAAGACTGTATATATATATGTGTGTGTGTTTGTTTAGTAAATAACTATGTTTCAAAGTGAGATTAGAGAGTTATAGTCATGTGGAAAATGTAACTATGTAGATAATTTCCATTAGATTTGTTTTTGGTTGTATGCAAAGTTTGCGAATTTTGATTGAAATCACATATATGCATGTATATCGATTTTTGTACTGTATTCCCCATGTACATATTTCAACTGTTGCTAATGAGTTTCTTTTATTTAATTTCATATCTTGATTTTGAAGCTTTGATAATAAAGGGCTATTATATTCTATGTTGGTTATGATGTGTTTGTATTTTACTGGTTTATGCATTAACGTTAAAGAGTATGTATGTATTATAGAGTTCAATTTTCATGATTCATCTTCTTTGAATTAAATCATGTATATTGTATTATATTGCACTTAACACCAGTTTAATTGTTTTTATGTGCTAGCTGCACATGGACAAGGCGTGTATTTCACTTAAATTTTTTTACACATTTCTCACGGATGTTGTTGATAGAGATTTATTCTTGGATCTAAACTTTCTAGTAGCATCACTGTGTTTAAGTTTAGAAATAGTTGGAGGTTAAATTCTCCCTATTTTTATTTGGAACAAACAATGATATGGATGATACTTGTGCTCTGAAAAAGACGAATTTATTGTTTCTGTGTTCATAATATCGTATTTTTCAGTTTAGAAGAGAGATATCTCGAGACCAGATAAAATAATCGAAAGCCGACTTCTCACTCTGATCTGTAAGTGCTGTTAAATATCCTGTACATTCATCATTTGACTTGTTATTGTTGTATATTAAATAAACGTTGATTTTACTTTGTTTAAATTTGTATTCAGGTTGTTTTCTTTAACTCAGTCAAGCCAAATTTTCAGATTTACTCTATGATACACTTCTTGATGGAATCTTTAGTTACTTCACTCAATTCCTGCTTCAAAAATGTCTTGTGGCCTTCATACTGAAGAAAGAAACAAATAATAAAGGGCCCTAATAGGGTAAGACAAGAAACATTTATCAACGCCATTATTGGCTGTCAGCCCCTGCAAAAATAGAGCTTTCAGACTATTCCGCTAGAATCATTTATTAAGCTTCCTACGTACCTTTGTAAAATGCTCTATTTATTTAAGAATACAAAACAAACTGATAAGTTGTAGTGTTGGTTGAAGCTCTACAAATATAGATATGTAGCCAGGTTAATCTAGAAGTAAAGAGCAACAGTTTCAAAGATGCACAACACTGAGTGTTCATTTAGCAGGATTTTCAATATCAGTTACTATTATTGTCCCAGCAGTTCAAAGACATCGGTCATCAAAGTAAATAAAGTGATCTTTTGAAAGCGAATAAGAACGTCACTAGGAAAACTGTGGCCACCAATCCCTGATGACTAATCAAGGGAGAGACAGTTAAACGGATTTTTAATGTGCACGAAACAACATATCATGCCACATATGACTGATTCCTTCAACAGTGTTAAGGATTCGGTTGTTTACAACTGTACTGTACAATGGATTATAAAAACTTTCATGTTACAGCGGAAAACTAGTCTTACAAATGAAAACTGGAAAACATGTCTTCATTGGTGTTTAGAATGCTAATTAAATACAATGAATGACTTGAAGTATATAGTTGTGTTTCAATCGTTTCTGTCTTGATAATAAACCGAAAATAAAGAAAACTCCACATAAGACACTTGACTAGCTTTGTCTTGATCTGAAAATGCAGGCTGTAGGTTATGCTTTAAAGGTTTGGAGAAAATTCCCGTGACCTTTGATTCCTGTAAAATGGTAAATAACAACCAAAATGTATTTTGTTGTCGATCATGTCCTCTCCACAATGTTAGATTTATACACTAATGGAAAAATACTCTTCCAATATACATTATGGATAAGGCAACAATCCACCATGTTCGTATTGTCTAAAATAAGTTCACAGAGCACCACGATTATTTCAGTCATCTTTCTCAGCCAGCCCAAGTACTGTATCTTAATCCAATAAAGCTTCTCTCTTGTTTGCAATATACACTGTTAGCATCTGCTTCAATATACACAGAGAACGTTCCATTAGTCAAAGAAGAAGCTTCTTGAAAATATGATCAATGTCAGACTTAATAGGTTAAACAATATCAGTTTTTCCATCTGACGTAATACGTTAAACAATATCAGTTTTTCCATCTGACGTAATACGTTAAACAATATCAGTTTTTCCATCTGACGTAATACGTTAAACAATATCAGTTTTCCATCTGACGTAATACGTTAAACAATATCAGTTTTTCCACCTGTCGTATAAATACATCACTTTCATACGTATTATTGAACTACAAACTAGTACAAGTTCAGTTGGTATACATTCTTCCATTGTACAGTCATGGGTGGATATGCTGTTTCTCAGTGGAGGTCGCACTTGCTATGCTGGTCGTGACTAGTTTTTTTCTGTGACAACGTATATTAGTTTTCAGCTTTGAAAATTTTGTTTCTGCATTTATTTTACACATTGAAAGTTTTGTGGTTAATGTGTGTTGAATTTCTTCTTTCCTTTTTAACTAGTTTTCTACAAATTATGATTAACGCCTCTATTTAAGCGCATATCATATTCGCCTGAAAAGGTAGTACTTAAACTAAATTAGGTATTAGTGGAAAACGGTTGATCCGCGGTTTTTAAAATTTTTATGTGCTTTATTGAATTTCGAATTTACGTTTGTATCGTATCAGTTTACGATTTCCAAGTTTTCATTTTGATGGAATGACGTTTATATTTTTGAAAACGAAAGTGTTAATTTCGCTTTAACTTTTTTGTATTAGGGAAATAACATGATGTAATAAATGATATTAATAAAGAGTATTACTAAATTAATGTTGAAACCTTCAACATGATCACAAAGTTGGTAGATTTGTGAATGTAAAGTTATTTACCGGTTTGTTTTCTATATGATCAAAAGAGTGTAATCGATGAATAAAAAAGTCTGTAATCAGATCAAAATTATTTGTCACTGGAAAAACAACACCAAACAAGATTGAAAATGAGATCCCAGAAACTTTTGTTATGTACAAGAACAGTTAAAGCGCTTGACAAAATAAGACTTACCCGTGCTTCAAAAAATAAAACAAAAATTTTGCACATTGAGACCTTGCTCTCACAACTTGACGCCCCCAGTGGCACAGCGGTATGTCTGCGGACTTACAACGCTAGAATCTGGGTTTCGATACCCGTGGTGGGCAGAGCACAGATAGCCCATTGTGTAGCTTTGTGTTTAATTACAAACAAACAAATAAACACAACTTGACACTCTGTTATTCGAAACTATCATTGTAATATCCTTAAAAAGAATGAACAACTTTGGATCTGTACAGAAGTTAGTTAAATAAGATTTAACAATGCTTAATAAGTAGAATTGAGTAGCATTAAGGCTTTGTTTTAACAAATGGCGATCTATAATGTAAAAATTATTATTGTTATATTGTTGAGAAGAGTAGACCAGCGGAATATGAGCTCAGAGGCTTGTGCGCAGTAAGGAGTCGTTTGTTTAGTACTAACAGAAATACCAAACTCTCCAAGGCTTTGCCAGGCTACTGCCTGACTCCGTAACTACCGAACAGAGCATGACGGGTAGACTACTTACTATGACCTCTGTTATTTGAATTTAATAAAGAGTGTCAACAAACTTACACTGTTTGAAAGTAATCATATTCACTTGTCAAGAAACTTATTATTGCAGAATTATTTTTCTTACCATTCAGTATTATCACAAGAAGTTATTTAGATTATTCAGTATGATAATGTCTATTTCTTAGCTAATAATATGACCAAAATTCATTGTTAAGTATTAATAGAATTGGACAAAATACCGATTGGACACGAAGAGTTGGGCAAACCTTTTCTCTCCAAGTTCATGGCTTAGTTTTTAGTTCTATAACTTAAGATCCAATATAACAATAATTACGATAAAGAAAATTGGATAATTATCTTAATTTCTAAGGTTATTCTTTCTTTGCTTTCTCTTTACCTTAAAAATATTAAACCTGCAGATTTTTAATAGTTGTATTAATTTTCAGGGCTATTCTTTCGTTGTCCGGTCTTTACCTTAACAATATTCAATCTGTAGATATTGTTTTGTTGTCCGCTCTCGACCTTAACAATATTAAATTCGAAGATACTGAATGATTGTCCTAATTATCAAGGCTATTGTTTCGTTGTCCGTTTTTTACTTTAAAAATATTAAATTTGTAGATATCGAATGATTGTGTTAGTTTTCGAGAGTATTTATTCGTTATTAATAGTATTAGATCTGTAGATCTTGAATGGTTGTCTTAAGTTTCAAGACTGTTGCATTGTTGCTCGTTCTTTACCTGAAGATGTTAAATTTGAAGATTAAGTGAACTACAGTTAAGACTAGTTCAGTTCCAATCGAAATACTTCTCATTATACTCAATTGTTCCAAGAACCGAGAGAAGAAAAGATACATACTTTTTCCAGCTTCCAGACATTAAAAAGAGAAGTTGATTTTTTACTATTTTTTTTCACTTAGACGTGAACCATATATTTTGCTGATAACAAGGAAACTGGGATTTTGTCCGGGGTCGCGCATGCGCATGTTTCTATCGATTAGTGATGTCACACTTATCGACTAAAGAGGCTATGGGACCTGGAGAGCATAAAAGCGCTGTTCGTCATCTACAAATTTTATATGCTGACGATCATCGCTAAAGGAGTCTCCATGAATTAAAGTTGTGCTGAAAGGTATTCTGCGGTAAGTGACTTTATTTTTTTAATTAGTAGTAATATCTCAACATCTTCAGTCTTGAGACGACTTATTCTTAGCTATTCCTACCTGTCTTGGTTCTCCTTTTACTACAGTTGCTTCCCGTGTATTTGAATCCTTTAGATGAACGCAGAGTATGAACTGTAAATATAGACATTATATGTAAAACGGCAGATCTTATACATTTCTAACGGTAGATCAATTTATTAAAAAACGTAAACTGTTATTTATAATGAGTGGGATATTTTGTACTAAAACTATAATGTATATATATTATAAAATATCACGCATAACAGCTTGTCATAACCACAAAGAAACAACAACAAAAACTGGTTAAACGAAAATTAGCTAGTTAAATAATAGTTATGGATAAATAGTTAGTTAAGTTGCTAGATTTATAACGAATTCGAGCAAACCACCTGTAGATTTTAAGAGCGAAAAATATGCGCAGAAGTATCAACAATTTCCTGAGGAGCGAGAGCCAAGACTGTAAAATATCAATTTATTGTACGCACATGTGTAGTGATAAGAAGGGATAAAACTATACAGGGACATATAAGATATATCAGTTATATGCAGATATTTAAAAATAATCAAGGATCTGTGAGATGCATCAGTTATATTCAGGGATAAAAATTACTCAGGGTTGTATAAAATGTATCACTTGCATGTAGGGACAAAAAATAATCAGGGACATGTAAGATGTTTCATTTACACCCAAAGATATGAAGAAATGTGGGACATGTAAAATATATTAGTTACGTGCAAGAATAGAAAATAATCAAGGGAATGTAAGGCGTATTAGTTACACGCAGGGATAAAAAGTTAGCAGGGACATACAAGATGTACGTACAGAGATTTAGAAAGTAATCAGGGACATATAGAATGTAACCAATTCTCTGCAGGGATAGAAAATAACCATGGACCTTTAAGATGTGTAACTTTCATCCAAGGATATTAATATGAGCCGTGTAAGATGTAGCAATCATATCTAGAGATAAAAGGTAATCAGAAATATATAAGATGTATCAGTTATTATCAGATATTTAAAAAGTAATTGGGGACATAAAAAACAATCAGGGACATGTAAGGTGTAACAGTCACATTCAGAGATAAAAAATAATCACAGACATATAAGATGCATCAGTTATATACAGACATTAAGAAAGAGTAATTTGGGATATGTAGGATGTGGCCAATTCTATGTAGAGTTTTAAATGCATAATCATTAATAAGTAGGATGTGTTATGCATATATTTAAAAGTGTCATTAAATACAAGTAGGATATGATGAATTATATGCAGAGATTTAAAAGAGTAATTGAACATATTTAGGATGTGCTCAGTTATAAGCAGATATTTAAAAGAGTAGTTAAACAAAAGTAAGATATATTTAGTTATATGCCGAGATTTAAAAGAGTAATTAAACAAACGTAAGATATGTTTAGTTATATGCAGAGATTTAAAAGAGTAATTAAGAAGACGTAAAATATCTTTAGTTATATGTAGAGATTTAGAATAGTAATCAGGAACACGTAGGATATGTCTAGGATGTATTTGATTACACATAGGTGTTTGAATGAATAATTAGGAACAAGATAATGTGAATAGTTATGATATATGATTGTTCAGAAATACCAAGAAACATGTTTACATAAAGGGTGATAAATAAGTTGGCTATATTCAACTATATAAAATGATTTATATGAATTATAACAACAAGTAGAGTATATCTATGCATAAATATTTATGTGAACAATGAGCGGGAGATTATGCCAGTTTGCTGATGAGAATTTATTGAGGTAAAAATATGTACTATCCAGATAGATATGTAAATACACATATAATTTAACATTTTTTAGAAAGTATAAGAGAATAGATAAAGCATAAAGAAATGGGTTTAGTCAATTTGTATATATATATCGAAGCTTGATGAAATTTGTTACGTAGCATTACTTGTTGAGAAATTGGTCTTCCATTGCCTCGATTCCAAAGATGAAAAATACGCAATCGTTCATTGAAGATGGCTTTTATAAGATCAGTTTTCTCTTCTTTGTTCTTTAGTATTGTGAAATTGAAGAATTCTCGAAGCTTGATGAAATTTGTTACGTAGCATTACTTGTTGAGAAATTGGTCTTCCATTGCCTCGATTCCAAAGATGAAAAATACGCAATCGTTCATTGAAGATGGTTTTTATTAGATCAGTTTTCACTTCTTTGTTCTTTAGTATTGTGAAATCGAAGAATTCTCGAAGCTTGATTAAATTTGTTACGTAGCATTGCTTGTAGAGGAATTGATCTTCCATTGCCTCGATTCCAAAGCTATTCGATTGTTTCGTCCTTCGAATTCAAACACCAGTTAGTACTATCACATCGAATAAACATTGTAATTTGTTAGAATCCAAATACTCCATGTTTTTTTCGTTTCGGTATTTCCTCCGCGCTTCTCTTCTTAATGAGTAGATGGAATGTAGATAATGCTATGTCAACATTTCTTCTTGTGTATCCAGTTGAAGTCGATGTTTCTTTGTCAAGTCGATGTTTTAGTGTATGGAAGTGAGTTTTTTATTTTTGAAAATAACTAAAGATTTGTTTGTTTGTTTGTTTTTGAAATTTCGCGCAAAGCTACACGAGGGCTATCTGCGCTAACCGTCCCTAATTTAGCAGTGTAAGACTAGAGGGAAGGCAGCTAGTCATCACCACCCACCGCCAACTCTTGGGCTACTCTTTTACCAACGAATAGTGGGATTGACGGCTGAAAGGGCGAGCATGTTTGGTGGTATGCGGATTCGAACCCGCGACCCTCAGATTGTGAGTAGAGCGTCTTATCCACCTGGCCATGCCGGGCCCAATAACTAAAGAACTAAAGCTTTATAATAGTGAGTATTATTGTGTAATAACCATCTGCTGATGATGTCCTGTCTTGGTGTTGAAAATCACTTCATATTTTTATTTTTTTAGAGAAAAATCTCACAATTCTTGATTGGTATTATTACAAAGTTCATTTCAAGTCTCACCTTCATCTGAGTTTGTTATTACTAAGATACGGATAAACTTTCACTACCCGATGTCATAAAGTCATCACAGTTAAGCTATCTGAGTTTGTTATTACTAAGATACGGATAAACTTTCACTACCCGATGTCATAAAGTCATCACAGTTAAGCTATCTGAGTTTGTCATTACTAAGATACGGATAAACTTTCACTACCCGATGTCATAAAGTCATCACAGTTAAGCTCATTGTTAACTTTAGAATCGTCAATAATATGTTTAATCACAATACCTTTGGCCCTGGATCTCGTTTTACTCACTACAAAGAAATTATTAGGTAAGACATCCAGAAGAAAGACGAAACCGGAGCAGATTTTACTGTAGAAATGCCAATTTTTTATGTACGTGAAAGATGGTTCAAAATGATGCAAAAAGTTACTTCATATTTCATCATATTGAATATACGTTTATGTTATTTTTGCCATTTACAATACTCACTGTAAAGAAATGACCAAGAATGTTAGTCGAAATCACTCATTTTCTATGTTAAGTCTACCAAGGTGTCAGCGGTAAGTTTACAAACTTAAACGCTAAAATCTGGGGTTCGAATCCTTGCGGTGGACAAAGTGCAAATAGCTTATTGTGTAGCTTTGAGCTAAACAACAGCAAATGCTTTGTAAAATATATAGGGGTCTACATAGACACCAGCAGTAATTATTTGATTAATTGGGTTTAACTGCAATATCGGTGGTGTTTTCTATATTTTTGTGTGTGGCTCATAGGTTATTAGGCACCCTGTAACCAATAAAAGTCATGGACCCACAATCAACTGAATGTATAAATACTACAAAAAAAAAGAAGAAAAAAAAAGCGTGTTTAGAAAGCCAGAGGAAGTACATGGACTCCGTAGATAATTCCAGAGTTCATGAAAGCCAGTGCCAGTCTTAAACATAAATTAACAACTATTTGGTGCCTTGTAGTGGTGAGTTGAAAATAACATTTAAACTATTTTCACCTCTCGCAAAAAGTGGAACAATATACACAGCGTGGTCACAAGTAAATAGACACCACCTTTTCAGAAAAAAATGAAATTTTTCAGTCATATTCACATGAATTGATATATTTATAATTTAATTAATATCTAGTAGATCTTCCATTCGCTTCGTGGAGTTCGTTGATCCTTTGGGGCATCGTGAGAATCATCTCGTCAATTTTAGATTGTGGGATTTTCGCCCCACTCTTGCTTCAAAACTTGGAGTAGATCGCTCTTCGAAGTTGGTTTTTTTGGTTGTTTCTTGACTTGCCGGTCGATTATGGCCCAGAGGTTTTCGATGGGGTTCATGTCAGGAGACTGTCTCGGCCAGGGCAACTTCTGAATACCATTTTCTTCCTGCCCCTTTTGGGTGTTTCTAGCAGTGTGACACGGTGCTCCATCTTCCAGGAACAACGTTGTGTTCTTGTCCACGAAACCCGAGGAATAAAGTGGCAAGAGTTATTCCTCCAATATTTCGACATATTTCGCAAAATTTATATTGTCAACGCACTCTACTAAGCTCGATCTCCCACCAACTCAAACAGCTTCCCAAACCATCACGCTGAAACCACCATGCTTCACAGTTGGCTGCAATCTGTTGAGCCGAAACTCTTGGTGAGGCATTATCCAGACCCATATCCTTCCACTGTCCGAAAATTGAGCGAATCATGATTCGTCTGAGAACAATACGGTCTTCCAAAAGTCCAAAGGCTTGGTCATCATATCACTTGCCCACTTCTTTCGTCTGCCTACGTTGGCAGGTCTTAATAAGGGCTTCCGTATAGCTGCTCTGCAACGATAACTCAATCT